GATTCCTGAATCTTCATAATTAGTTTACAGTTTTTCTGAGCTTCACAGGTGCATATATAAATGCACCTGATTATTTTTACTTAATTGCCCCACAGATGGCCCTATCGTAGTGTTCAAAATAAAACTATCTTTCTGTCTAAATTAGTATTTCTACCTTGCCAACGGCTCCACTACCCACCTAGTGGCTCAAGCCAGAAACCTAGGCATCACCTTTTCCCCCCCTCACCTGCACTCCCCATAGTCAGTCAAGCAAGTCCCGTTGATTCCATCTCTTGAGCATCTCTTGAATTCATCCATTTCCCCCACTTCAACGACATTTTCTAATTCAGACCACCATTGTCTCTCCTCTCTGTGACTGCAACACTCTCCTTATTGGTCTCATTGATCAGTCTTGCTGCTACTCTCCACGCTACAGCTAGGTTGATCACATCATTTCCCTAATTACAATCTTGCAACAGCTTTATATTGTCCTCAAGCTGAAGTTCAGGCTCTGTAATGATTCACAAGGTGCTCTGTGATATGGATTTTGCCCATCCCTGCCTCTTCTTCCTTCCCATCCTTGTTCTTCTCCATAGATCTGATGCTTCACAGAGACATGGTCTTCTTCAGGCCCTCAGGTGAGTCATAATCTATCCCGCCCAAGCCTTGTGTGTTCTGTTATCTTCTTCATCACAAAACTGCTCTCCAAGCCCTTCACCACATACATTTCAGTTATCACCTCCAGAAAGCCTTTCCTGATCCACCAAGCTCCTGCAGAGTGAGCTTGCTCCTGTGCCTCAGTATCTACCCTGTTATCGCATTTGGCATGTTGTTCTGTAATTGCTTATTTATCAATGTCTCCTGCTACACTAACCTGGGTGATGGGAGAGCCCTTTCCACTTCATGAGTATGCCCTATATTTAGTGCAACCCAACACCTGGTAAGAACACAACCCGTAAGTGTTTACTGACTGAGCACAAGTCTGGCATACGCTTAGGAAGTAGCACACTGGCTTGTTTAAACTGTTCTTTTGTCAGAGTTAATATTAAGGTAGAAGAATATTTATAATATTAGGATGTTCACAGACTAGGAGAATATTTAAAATATTAGGGTTGCTAAGGGTATGATGTAGGCTAGTTGGTTTCTATCCGTATCCAGGAGCTTTGGTGCCCTTCTAAGGAATGCATGGCTCTGTAATGAGACCAGGATATGAAAAGGAGAACAGAATGGAGGAGGGGGACCAATGGGCAGAACAGTGGGTCCCTAATATGATTTTAACCAGAGCAGTTTAATCTTTTAAAATTCTGCACAAATGGTGTCATATTGTATTTTATATGAGGAAAGCAAGGGAAAAGAAAACAAAAAGAAAATCCCAATCTAAATAGACTATTGATAAGAGTCAACTAAAATCATCTTGCCATTAAATCAAGGAGACTGTGAAATAGAGGCATATCCTGTGGTCACTGAAGTATTCTGGTATTATATATTATTAGTGTCACCAGAAAACACGCAGCGCCTAAAACTTTTCTGGGTATGGCAGTGTGTATACATAGGTTTGCCTCTTACTAAATCAGTTTAGTTAAATCAGGCTCCCAGTTGGTATTTAGTTATTAACAAGACTGAGAATTTTTAAAACATCTTTTTATTTTAATTTTTTTCTGTGTATTTCTGTTGCTCTGGAAGACTCTACCTACATGCAATAGGAGTTTTGCTGAATAGAAAAGAGAAACATGTATAATCATACTGTTAGACATTAGATTAAACATAGTGCAGGGGATTTACAATCCTAGTCTACTAACTCTACTCATGCATGAGCACGATTTTGTAACTTCTTGGGCCTTAGAGAAATTCTGCCCATATCTCCATGACCCATTTTCTAACCCTGAAAATGGTAAAGTGTTACACACAAAAATTATTTCTATTGGAAGGCTGTCTTAGTTATTTTTCTCATTGCTGATACAAAATACTTACACTCAAAGTTGAAGGAGGAAAGGTTTATTTTATTGCACATTTTGTAGAGATTTCTGTCCATAGTCACTGGGTCCACGACAGGGCAGCAATGCAGAGGGGCATTGCAGAAGAGAAGTGAGCAGCAGCCAGCCAGCCTACCCTTCCTTTTTATTCCAGCCAGTACCAGCCTTTTGGGTGGTGCCACCCGGAACTATGTTAATTCCAACTAGTGGACTAATTAGAACCACACACTATTAATCCCAGTATCACATACCCTAGACTCAGCCAACTCTGAAAAACCCCACCTATGAACACATGATACCTTGTCGGGGAGATTTATGCACAAACCATGACATTCTATCCCTGGCCAACAAAAGATCCGAGCACATCCCTTTATCCAAAAGGCATTTAGTCCACCTTTCAGAGTTGTCAAAGTCTGCAAAGTTTCAGGATTGCTGAAAAGGTCAAGTCCAAAATCTCTTCTGAGATTTAAGGCAAACTCTCAGCTGCAAGTCCCTTGTACAAATGCAAAAAAAAGTTAAACTCTTCCAACATACAAGAAACACATTACCATTCCAAAAGGTGAAAGTGAGATAGAAAGGAATAAGACCAAAGCAAGTCCAAACCCCAGCAGGGCAAACAGTTCTGTAGTTCCATGTCCGTTATTCAGGGCAATCAGTGGTAAGACAGAAACTCCAAAGGGTTTGGGTGGCTCTGTCCCTGAAACTTTTGGTCACTGTAGCTCCCATGGCTTCTCTCTCGGGCCAGCACTGCTCCCTCCTTGCAGTTTTCCCCAGACAATCCTTGTCCCTGTCTTTTCCAAGGTCTCCACAGCACCTTCAATTTCACACTCACAGCTTTACACACTGCCATCTCAGGGCCCACTGCCTGACCTTCCAGGCCTCCTTCTGAAATCTGGATGGAAGCCTTCCTAATCCCACAGCTCTTTCATTCTGCATATGCCTAAAACTGTGTGTATGATGTCAAGGGCTGCTGCCAGGAGGAGCAGTAGCCAGGCTTTCTTCTCTCTTGGCTGGAGGATTTGAGTGCCTGGATCACCAAACACTTCTCTAGGCTGCTGTCATGCTGGAGTGTGGTGCTCTAAGGCTCTCTTCTTAAAGCATTCTTTCATCTTTGCAACTTGAGGCTGAAAAGGCTGGAGTCACACCGGTTATTGTGATGTTTGCAGGCCATTTTTTCCTATTGTCTTCTAAACTACTTGGCTTTCTAGTGCTAGTCTCTTCAGCAAGAAATTTCTCCTCTGTTCCACCTTTGTGGGCCACAACTTTACCAAAGTTTCTTTCTGACTAAATTCAAATTTTTAAAAATCATTCTCTTGAGCCTTTTGTTCTTGATTTTTCAACAAATATCGCTAAAATCCCTAATGGTAGCCACACTAGTACTGCAACATTGGACTGTGTTGAATTTCTTCTGCTAGACTAGTTAATCCAATGGCCTTAATTTCAGTCTCAGGCAAAGTTTTTGGACATGAGCAAAATGCAGACAAATTCTCTATCAAAGTTTAATGCGTGTGACCTGGAGTTCAGTAGCCAATGTAGTCCTTATTCCTAACTGAACCCTGCTGAGCCTGGTCTCTATTGACTGCATTCCTATCAGCCTTTGATTTTCTGAACTCTGCCCAGAATCTCCCATCAAGTTTACAGAATTCCAGGGCCGCTTCTTCAGTATATCTGAACCTTTCCAAACTTTTCACAAGCCAGTTCCAAAGGTTCCTAAACCACATGGCCAGGTAATGTCACAGCAATGACCCCGCTTGTCTGATACTGTATCAGTCCATGCTTACTAAAGAAACAGGTTTAATGCAAGACACATAGTGTAGAAGAATTTATAAGGTGGGCTTTGAATGGCCACCCACTCAGGTGTGGAAAAGTGCAAAGGGGCTGCTTGTGTGCTGGTGATTTGAAGGTCCTGGCTGAAGGCCTGGAGCTCACTGTAGCATGCTCTGCCAAGTCTGTATCAGGAGAACAAAGGTCCTGTGATAGGAGGTTAAAGGCTCTGTGCTGGAAGCTGGGGCTGTGCAGGATGCCAGGAAATGATGCCCAAAGTGAAGGTGAAGATTGGAGTCCTCTGAAGAAAAAGAAGCAACACTTCCTTCTTTTCCCTGTCCAGGGTGGGTCTCCTGTTTTTAGTAAGTCCCCGAGCCATACCCAGAACTATTCTGATCCAAACTAGTTGGATTTTTCTTCTTTTCTTTTCTTTTCCTTTTACCAGGGATTGAACTCAGGACCTAGCACTTCCCAGGCAGGTGCTTATGCCACTGAGCTAAATCCATGGCCCTGGGCTTTCCCATTAATTTAACACAATCAGTTAACTATCACAAAGACATTCATTCATTCATACAAAACTACTTATTTAGAGCCTACCTTGTACCAAACACGTGCAGCATTTTGGGTTTGGAGATCTATCAGTGAGAAAGATAGATGAGCTCCCTGCTGTTCTGAAGCTTACACTGTGAAGAGAAGAGACTAAATAAGTAAACAAGCTGATTTCGAGCAGTGAGGAGCTGCAGGAAGCTGGCAGGGTCCTGTGCTGGAGGCTGGCATCACGGAGGGTGGAAGTGGGTTGGTGCTGCTTTGGTCACCGCACCTTCAGGCAGGGTTAACTGATATGAAAGATGCAGTGGGCAATGAAGTGAAGGAAAGAGACCTCCTTTCAGAGGAAGAGAGGGCTGGCCAGTGTCCCCCCACTGCTTCTCCCAGTGGCTCCTTCAAGCAGCTGGTGCCTGAGGTGTAGGACGAGTGACAAACCACCCCCAGCTCATTCCAAGCCCTGGGGAAAAATGGCCTCAAACTGTACATAAGGAGGAGGCATCACTGAAAAAATAAAATGTGAGGAGGAGAGGACAAAGAAGTGACGCGTTTCTTTATAAGGAAATTTATATACTTAGGTAAAATGTCTATTGCTTCATCTTGCCATTTAAATAAAATAATATTAAAACAGCACAAAATCCCAAATAAAAACTGCCTCTAAATTTTAAGGGGATTTAATTGGAGCATGTGTTCTTTCATATTTGCCACTAGAGGGCAGTGTTGCCCATCAAATGCAGCAGAAGGGAGGCCGTGCAGCGGTGCAGGTTTCCAGGGGTCTCACCCGCAGGTGAACCTTCCTCCATCCGCGCGGCTGTTTCTCCCCGCTCCCCTTAACTTCCTGCCAGCTGCCTATCAGTAGGTGAGGTGAGTTTTACCTTTAGAGAAAAGTCTCCGGCGTTTCATAAAACAATGCAATCCGCACATTTGACCTTGTGAAAGGTTATCTTGACCTTGTGCTAGGCTAGGGCTCCAAGATCTCAATCTCCGTCTGTGAGGCTCAGGCTTTGTCTGTTCTGCCCAGTTCTTCAGAATCAGACCTGCCATTTGGGGACAGACGAACAATTTTATCCTAGGGAGCGTGGAGCTTTGTTTCCTCCGTGTTCTGTTAGATCACTGCTGGCCGGAAGGTTTGGTGGCCTTGGTGTGGGCCAGGACTCTGAAGCTCTGTTTTCATGCTCGTTGTTTTTTTAACTGAGCCCTTTTATGAAAACACACGCAAGAGAATGGATTCACTATGAGAAAAGAGGGGGATAGAAATGGTAGCATTTTAGCTATAGCCTCACAGCAGAATAAAGGCAAGACTTCTAAAAGAATGTAAGAATGCAAAAAAAAATTATATTATGGAGGTAAGTTATTCATTTAAAATATATTTATTTTCCCCTTTTATGTGCTAGCAATCAGGATCAATTTGAGCAAACAAGGACAAAATAAGATCAGGAACCACAAAGAAGCTGTGTATGTGTGCGTGTGTGTGTGTGTGTGTGTGTGTGTGTGTGTGTGTGTGTATGCGTGTGTGTGTGTGTGTGTGTGCGTGTGTGTGTGCGTGTGCGTGTGCGTGTGTGTGTGCGTGTACGCATGTGTGCGCGCGCGCACGCGCTGTGTAGCAGGCCCAGTTCAGAGCTGGGAGGAATCTTAAAGATATCATCTCTGATAATCTTCATTTTACAGATGAGTAACTGGTGGCTCAGAAATAGTGTCACTGATCCAGAAATGAAGCAGTTATTTCATTTGAGCACTAAAATTAGTTTTGAGCAAATGGGAAAACTCTTAGTGTTTACTTAGCTTTTGGTGTTTGACAAAAGAAAACAGGATAATTAGAGAAGGGAAACTGCCTTTGGGTACTGATTTATTGAGAAAAAATGATCCTACGGATACATATATCACAGTCACAGACATAGAGGGAAAATTACTATTTAAAAATCATTGAACCTGCATGAAATTAAGCTATATGTTAGTAAACTGTATTTTAGTGAAAGGATATTTATGTGAGGTCAAACTAACCCAAGCATGTGACTTTGTTTAATCTAACATTACACAAGGGTGGAACCAAAAAAGTCAGGAAAATGTGTAATTTTTTTTGCATCCAACATTGAATATCCGCTCAGTCAGTATGATAACTAAAACTCTTTCAGAAACCAGCAGAACCGAGATGAAAATGTAATGTGATCTCCGTGCCACGAAGGAAATTCCTGACGCCCAGGTGACTCCCGCGTGCAGCCAGGAATCAGAGAATGACACTGTCAAAACTTGTTAGTTTTCTGAAGCCTACAGGCCTGATTTTATTTATTTAAAGTTAACACGCATTTTAATAAGAAAGCAAGCACATTCTACATCCCAGGGAAGACTTTTCCTAGTGCACGCATTTCTTTCCCGAAGTGCTGGGCTGCAGGCTTTGTGGGCTTTCTCCGCGTGTGTTCCCTTTCTGTGGCTGGGGTCACACAGTGCACCCTTCTCCTGGGCCTGCTACTCCTCCTGACAAGTGGGCCTAAAAGCATCTTCAAGCCTGTGTGTGTTTAAATGGGTTGTTATTTTTAACTGAGATCTATGTGTATTCCATGAATGACCAAAGTTGGGAAGAACAAATGAAGATCAGCTTAGATATAAAATCAGTCCTGAGTAAATTCTATAAATGTGCAGCCCATAAACTGTCATGAGAAACAGAGGTAAACTGAGGTAGCCCCTGGGGCCTGCCTGGCTTTTATTGTGATGACCGCTTTCCTCATCAGTCAGTGGCTGTCAGGGTGTGGTCCCAGATGTGACCTGCGAAGATAATCAGCACCTGGCTGCCAGCTTTGGGATGCAGTTCTCCAGTTGTGATTTGCTGGTCTTCTTTCTTTCTGACTTGGTTTGCCTTCTTCCCAGTCCCTCCCCCAACACATACCTTGGGGCTCTGTTTTTTCTGTGTATTTTCTCATTTCTGAACCCGCACATATCTGGCTCTCTGTATGGACGGAAGTCTGTTCAGTGGACTGCAGTGAACAGGACCCAGACCCTGATAACCTGGTTCTGATAACCTGGTTCAGCTTCTGGTCTGCCGTCTGCCAGCCATGTGCCAATTCCCTTCATATTGCCATGTGTCAGTTGAACATCTTAACTCGGAGATAAGATTACCTACCAGCTGGCTCCACTTGGATTTCTAGCACTCTGGGAGGCTGAGGCAGCAGGATCTCAAATTCAAGCTCAGATCAGTGACTAGCAAAACACTGTCTCAAAATAAACAGTAAACCTGGTGAGGGTGTGGCTCAGTGTGCGGCTGGCTCCACTCTCCAGGGCAGGGAAAGATCATGTTCCTCCTGGCAGTCAGGAGGTGATGGGAGTAATCTAGGAAAGTTATTGGGAATGGTGTCCGGTACATGGTGAGCTTGCTATTGTGGGGCATGTATTCTGATGATGGCTGTTGTTAGGGGTCTGGGGACTACACATACACAACCACGTGGGAGTGGGCACAAGAGGGAATCTAGTGAGCCGGTAAAATCCACCGTCCTGGTTACACTGAGGGGCAACATGAATTGATCATCAAGGAAAATCACAGCAGTTTATTTAGAGCTACCTGGAAAGAGTTGTGGTTGTTTGTTTCTTTTGTTTGCTTTTGGTTTTGGTTTGAAACGGGGTCTCCTCATGTAGCCTAGGTTTGCCATGAGCTAGAAACGTAGACTAAGTTGCCTTCAACTCTAAGATCTTCCTGCCTCGGCCTCCCATGTACTGGGAACAGAGGCCTGTACTGCACATCAAGTTGTCCTCATGTTAGGTAATAGAATATAATTCTGGAACTACTAAGGCCTACCATGTGGTGCTAAGCAACCTCACACTAAAGGCAACCCAAAGGAAAGAAGTGACAGAGCCAGTGAAACAAACTGAAGCTGTGGGAGCCCCATGACTCCAGCCATGCCTGAGGCCCAGGAAGAAGCCTGCATAAGTGAATTTGTAGTAAGCAATTAAAAGAGCCATCACTAACTCAGACTGCCACAGATACAACCCATTTCCTTTGCTTATCTAAATCAAACCTACCCTTGGAAACAGAGCAAACCGCCTCTTTGATGGGCCAGATGCTTCCTTTCCTAGGCTCCCACAGCATCTGCCATCAGCACCACCTACGCAGCATTTATCATCCTGAATTAGAAAGTGCATCTTTGTTGATGCACTCCTTGCAAATCTTTAAGGTTGTGTGTATAGCCTCCATATTTTTCTCTCTGGTGATCCCCACAGCCACTTGGGCATGGATTCTGCAGCAAGCTACCAGCGTTTGTTTATTGAATTCCTTCTGTCCTCTCCCATCCATCAGAAGAAGACAAAGGAATGTACGCAGATGAACACATGAAGTGTGGGGAGATGGGGCAAAACGGGGCTGTGTTGTTCACAGAGGAAACTTTCAAGGACAGAGCTCGGCCTCTTGTCAGGTGTGGACATGAACTCTTTGATGTATGTCCCAGCAGGTTGTAAGTGTTCTATGAGCAAAAGCTAGCTCTGTTTTTTAAACACTATTTCCCAGGGCTTGGCTCTGTGCCTGACACATTGTATGTGCTCAGTAAATACTTGTCAAATGAGTGCTGCGTCTTATAGACAGGGGACTCAGATCAATTAACAAAGCCTTACTGCCTTGTAAAGGAAATGAAATGAGAAAAGAATTGCTTGTTCTGTGAAGCCAACACCTTCTTCCCATTATTCTGAGCCCCTTCTACCATCACCTCATTTCTCCAAATTACAAGAGTAAATAAAGCCGTTCCTAGAATGACAGATGAGGTGCAATGACCGGGGCATGCTTGGAATTTCCAGCTCTGCAAGAAAACTGGTATGGACTCCAGATCCAACAAAGAAAGACTTGCTGTCATCAAAATGAGAGAATGGAGCGATATGAAAGCAGATTTAGAAAAACTCCACCACATTGGAATGTTCAGTGTACACACACAAAATTCTGAATTTGGGTCATTTCTATTTTTTTTTACATAGCATCTCATGGCATTAGTTCTATAATAACTTTATGTATTATATTTGGGAGAAATTATAAACCACTTTTCCTTTAAACTAGTTGATTGATAATATCAATACATTAATTATTCTCTTTCTAACTCAATATTCTCCAAGAATTCATTCATTATTCACATGACAAAATTATCAACCTAGACATTTTTATTCTGTCAATGTTTTCTCAAAAACAGTTGCTCCTATATCATAAAATCTAAACCAAATCATACAGCCAAAGCCTTCAGGAATTTGACCCCAGTCCACCTTTACAAAGCAGTTCATACAAGGCTCAGATCTATTTATCTTCATATAGTTACTCTCTCTTTCTCTCAGTTGCTTCCCATCTTTGTACTTCTGACTTTTTCTTTCTGCATTTTTAAATGTGCGCTTTCTTTCAGCTGACATTCTTTAACCACCCCACCTGAAGATACAATGTCCGTCCTCAAATCCTAGAGCATCCTCCTCAAAGGACCATCACTCACTCAGCCCCTCCCCCCATACAACCCATCTCCTCTACTTATCTAAGCCCAGCCTATCCTCTGAAGCACAGGGCAAGCCTCGCCTTTATGGAAGAGACACCTCCTTTGCTTGTAACACCTATCTCTGTGACAACTTTTAGGATTCATCCCCTCTTTAGAAAGTGAATCTTTGTTGATGCATTTGTAGCAAGTCTTAAATACTGTGTATTGACTATGTTTACTCCATATTTCACTCTTTCCTGATCATCATCGCCATCTGGGCATGTGGGCTTTTGCAATAAGCTCACCAGCATTTATTTCTTGAATTCCATCTGCCCTGTTATGTCCATCAGAAGAGGGCAAAGGAATTTAAGGAGTGAACACACCAAGTACCTGGGATGAAGCAGAAGTCTGTGGATTGGCTCAGCTTTTCACGGGAGTGTGTTTTATGGCCATTATGATGCAGTCCGTGGGCAGAGGTTACATCTTGGCCTTCCCTGCATTTTGCTTTACACGTCGTGTGGATTATTTCAATGATGATTATGGTGGTAACTGAGGTAATACATAGCCAAGGCTTTGCACTATTCATGCCTGGGAGGTTTTGCCCTTTTTTCTTTTACTATTTTTATTAGTAGATATTTGCTGCATATAATGATCACACTCATCAGAGGGAGTTAGTATATAGCAATAACACATCGTAATTCTTTTATTTCCCCTTCCTGCATCTTGATGTCCTTTTCCTATTTGCAAAAGATCTACTTCCCTTTTTCCCACTGTCTGTCTTTTATTTTGTTCTTTGCATTATTTATACTTTAAGGATCTCACAGAAGGCGAGTCATGTGGTATTTAAGAGCAGTACTGCACTCTGTATAAATACACAATTTCTTTATCTATGACTCTGCTAATGAACACACAGGCCCATCTCCAGGTTTGACTATTGGTACTAGTGCCCTATTTCGTTTAGCACAGTGTTCCCACCTTACTCTTGTGGGCTATGGTCCAAGATACTCAGGAGATGCTTGAAACCAACAATGGCATCAAACCCTATACTATTTTTCCTACACACAGAGAAATATGATAAGCACAATGAGAGATGTTAACAACTAATAATAATAACTAATACCATAATAGAACAATTATAACAGTATACTACAGTAAAATTCATGTGAATGTAATCTTTTTCTCTAGCAACTTCTATTACGTTGTACTCACCTTTGGTTTTGTCTTTTCTCATTTGATAGAGAATTTTCATCTTTTCACTTAAAGAAAGTATTTTACAGCTTCTGTAGCACATCTGAATTACCACCATCATTAGATTTGTATTTTGGAGATGTTACCGAGTAAACTAAGGGTTACTTGGATACCAGCACTGTGATACCAATAGCCAAGATGGCTGCTGTGTGACCATGGGTTGGCAGCATCCACAGAGTTAATATGCTAGACAAGGGGGTGATTCACATGTCTGGTGAGAAAGAGCAAGACAGCACAAGACTTTATCATGCTGATCAAAATGGCAAAGTAAAACTTATGAGTTGTAAACTTCTGGAAACTTCCATATAATACTTTTGTGCTGTGGTTGACTCTAGGTAATTGAAATGATAGAAGCAAAAATACATACAAGGAGACTGTTGTAAAGACAATTGCCTAACACTTTCTAATTTATAAATACCCTCTATGGTCAAACCAAGTCAGAATTGCTTTCCCATTTCTTTTCTTTTTGTAAACATAGGGCTTGAAATCTTGTAATCTATGGAGAGCTTTATAAACCAATAAGCAAAATTTCTAAGTGCCCAAAAGAGAATTGAGCATGGAATATGAGTCAGTTAGTGAATAGCTGCTAAAATATACAAAAGAGGTCCATCTTAAACTAAAGTTGTGAAAATTATGAGATTCTATCTTTTACTTATGAGACTAACAAAGATTAAAAATTTAAACTGTTAGTGAACAGTATGGGAAAATTTGAGGAGAAATGGGAACCTATTCTCCCATTTGAAGGGTTTAAGCAATTTAAATTTTCTTAATCCTAGGTTGGTTTTAGTTTTTGTAGTTTACTTTAGGAATTCTCCTTAACTGTATAGCCTTAGAGGAGCATGCAGTGGACATATGGAAAGATGTTTACCATGATGTGCTGTCTAATACCCAAAGACACCCTAACGCTCTTCAGAGCGGATTAACCCACCACTAAGCAGCAAGCCGTGGAGGTGCTGGGACAGGAATCCTGGCATGCACGCTCCACGTTTATAAATACAAGGCTTTCCTGCTGCCAACTGAATTTACTTAGGGCCGTTTTCTTAGAAGCTCAAAATCCTCTGTAGACATTTTTCTGGTCTTTGGCCAGAGAGAAGAGTAGCAAGGAGTAAGTCATAAACATTACTACAGTCAGCGGAGACAAGCCTGGAATTTCCATCTTTTTGACTCAGTCCATAAAGCTCTCTGCCATTTTTCATCTCAGCTTTGAATTGACACACATTTATGGAACTTGGTTACATGTCTGAAAAAAAAAAGAAAGAAAGAAATGGTTCTAATGAGTCTTTCAAGGTGCTCTGATAGCTGTTCTGATGTGAAGGATATCTGCTGAATGATTTATATATTAAATTTATTTAAAACACATCCGTTACTCTGGGATCTCTGGTAAATATTTAAAGGAGAACGAGCAAAATATGTTATAAACATTGAACTTCGACTCAAAACAGGTAAAATGAGGTGAGAGGCTTGGAAAAGGGTGTTGGGGGGGGGCTGAAGATTATTCATGCATGTTATATGCATATGTAAATATGCAAGAATGAAATGCACTGTGATCAGTAGAAAACAGTGAGGAAAAATTCTTCATAATTAGCTTAGAAATGGTCTACCTTTTCATGACAGATCATGCAATGCCCTGAGACAGTAAGCAGAGTTGGCCTTTCTGACTCACCATGCAAAACCAAACTGCATAGAACATAATCTAGTCTCATTCTTGGGGTCTTCAGATTTCAAACTCTTGCAAAGGCAGGTGACTGATTTTGTGCCTACCTGCTTCTGACTCATTAGACTCCTAGTACTTCTGGACAAAACTAAATATTTCAAAATGAGATTCAAACAAAAGCAGTGTGCCTAGTGAACGTCAGGAAAGAAGAATGATTGAAAGTACAAAGATCTTTCAAAATGGACACTGAGTACAACTTTCTAATTCCTTTGAGCAGTCAACTTTAGAATATAAACAAATGGCAGAGTTCAACTGTCTCTCTCAGTTTCATTTTTCTAATTAAATTTTAGGACAAACCAAAAATACACTAGCTTTCGGAAGAGAAAAAGGTAAAAATGTTGTAGGAATGCAAGATTTCAAGATTGATCTCTCAAAGCTAGACTAACATATTGATCTGCTTTAGATTAACAAAATCATATTTTAGCCTACTAAAAATATGAAAACATAAAAACATTTTAATTAGATGTGCATAGCTATATTCTGTTTGTTTGATTCTACCTGTATTTAGGGTAGTACAAACAAGTGGCTTTAAAGTAGAACAAGTGGAAAATGTTGAGTACTTATGTAAGAGAACTTTTGAGTGTTTAGTATCAGTGGGGCTGGTATATTATGAGAGCACGCAGTTAAAAGAAGTGGCTATGCTTTATTTTGAACCAATGTTAAGTTTTCCTATTTTAGGATTACAGTGTTCATATAGGGAACTATAATACGATACAGTACAAATCTTTTGTTAAATCAATGAATTCACTATCTGAAATAAAACTTTATTCAGTCACTGTATTTTGAAGGATTAGACTATCACACATAGGTTGGAGATAATAAATTGGACAGTGTCCTTGAAGGAAAAGAGCTCGGGTTTGCTTTATTACCTATTCTAAAAAGAGTTTCCGACACCATGAAAGCTTTTAGAAGAGCAACAAGGACTCTGACTCAGCCCTTTGTGGTGCAGCAGATCAGTGCATGAACTAGTTAACCATATCAGAGGAAAAAAATGAAATCATTCCTGCTTAAAAATCTGTTGGTGTCATCTTTTAATTTATTTAGGGTGATTGACTCAGATGGCTTTATGATGACCCAGTCAAGTATTTGCTAAGAGCCCCTAGAGGCCAATATCAATTTTTGTAAACCTGTTTTTGCTCTCTGCAGGCTCTACTTGCTTACCCTGATCTGTCCATCTCTGTTACTGCTCAACACCTGGGGAAAGAACCCGAAGAGCTCTTAGGAGAGATTGGAGATAAAGTGTGAGAGCCCTGGGCACAGACGCACAGACACAACACGGATCCAGAAAAAGATGCTAATGGGTATTTCCACAGCCTGATTCACTTAAGCAAGGGGAAAATCAAGGCTGCTTGAAAAAATGCCCACTTTCCCATAACTGCCTGCAACTTTCTTTAACTTTTGTTACAGTCTTTTAACACTCCTTTGTGTTTCGGATGAGGCAAATATTATCAGCCTACACTAATTCTGACAATAACTAAATACTAAATTCTTTGGCAAGGGGGCAGAAACAAAACTGACACAGGTTTGTTTTTTTTTAAAGCTTTCAGGACCAAAAATCAGGTACATGTCTGAGTAAATCCTTGTTATTTAAATACTGGTGTAATGGTGTGCTCTGGAATGGCAAAATTTCCTTAAATTCCAAACCTTGCACACATTTGCCTTGGTCACCACAGATTCTTGCAACCAAGTTCTGGATGCAAACAGTGTCACAGAGATCTCTGGAAAATGCTCTTTGGCAGCAGGTTTGGGAACTTACAGTGAGAAGAAGTGCTCACTAGCAGAACTTGTGTAAAAAGAGGGATATGCTACTTTCAGAACTTTTAACAGCTATCTGCATTTATCTGTACACATACTTGGTATCACCGTGAAAATAAAAACAGTTTCTGTTAAGATCTGAGGAAGTGAAAGAAAGACGGGAGGAGAGAAAATAGCCTGTGCCTTGGCCAGGACAGAAGCAGCAGCTCTTTGCCTCTAAGAACATTTTAAGATTATCCTGCCCATCAGAAGGGTCCAGATTCCCACCTGATAAAAGGGAGAGCAACAATTCTTGATTGAGAGGAGATACCTTAGGGTCACGTCTCTGCATCATTTCCCCATGTTTCACTGCATCAGGGAAAAGAGGACAGAGAGAGCGACTTCCTTCTGGGGTAGAGTGGCCTGGGGCTGGACCAGCATGCATCCAGGCCACGGCCATCACTCCACCCATCACATCCTCCATCAGCAGCTCCACTTCAGTGCTGACGAACACAGGGCTGTATGCTTTGACTTATCCTAGACATAGGTTAGGACTGATTTACAAGAGGTGAGCAGAAACGGGTGAGTGCTGAGATACACAGTGTCTTCTGAGAATTCCCTGCTCACTGGACTAATAGGTGGAGACATGTGAAGCTTGTAGGGCTTTAAAGTTTCTCAGTCAGACTGTGCTATGCTCGGTGTTCCCACTTCGGCCTAGGATCAAGATCTCTGTTGTCTTCCTTGGAAGGACCCTGGGTCAGAAAAGCTGGTATACAAGGCAGCAAGTACCCATTTCCTTTAGTAACTAGGGTGGGCTGGCATTTGTCCAGGTGAGGTGGCCAGTAGATACGTCTTTAACAGGCTCCCGGGGGGCCCTAATTCATATGTCTCGCTGCTGCCTGGCTCTGAACACTGGTGGCACATTGCATGGGACAGTCCAGTGGCTGGTGCAGGCTGTCAGACGGGATGGTCACTGCAGGTTCATGCCAGCAGAACAGAAATGTGTTCAGTTCGTCACTCAGGTTTTTAATGAATAAAAACCTCTCACCTCATCTTTTTTTTTTTCACTGTCTGTCTTCTCAACATTAGAAAAGAGGCAGTATAATCACTTCTCCTTGCCTTGACAGGGTGATCAGACTTGGTAATTTAAACTCTTTAAGGAACCCTAGAATTTTGAAGCATTGTTTCATGTACTCATTAAAGAACAAAGACCTTTTCTAAAATAAATGGGCTTGGGATTTAGACCACAGAAGTCTAGATCTGCCTTAGACCTAACCTTAGAGCAGCCACATTTTGGGAAATTTCCTGTGGACACAGAGGGAAGTGGCTCCATTTGCTGCTTGTGAGGACGAGAGAGATTGCAGACCTTTCTGTGGGATGAATCGTGTCTCCAGAGCTCAGCCCCACCCACAATTTGTATGCTGAGTTCTTCACTCCTGAGGCCTCAGAAGACAGCTGTTTAGGGAATTAAGGCTTTTAAAGAGGAAACTGAGATAAAATGAGGTCATCCATGTTCTGATGTATGGCCTTACAGGAAGAGGAAATTAGGAACCAGACAACTCAGAGGGTGAGAGGTGCCTGGGTGGGGACACGATGAGAAAGAAACATCTGTAAGAAAAAGAGAAAGGAGTCAAACCAGCCAGCACCTTCAGTTTGAGCCTCTACCCTCTGGAACTCGTGAAAACTTTCTGTTGTTTAAAGCACTCAGCCTGTAGTGTTTTATTATGGCAGTAGTTTTCTCAGAGCAAAGTAATACAGATTTGAAAGTGCCTGGTAATTTATATACAAAAGCTAGTTATGATCATTATCACTTTGGAGAACATTCTGAAAATGAGAATGAAGGAGGAAATGTATGCTGAAGGATCTGGGGAAATGGCCCTGGAAATTCAAAGCAACATAGTACAAATGAAAAGGTATTGAAGGCTGACGGTGTTGTTGGGTGTACCGATGAATAACGCTTACTTTTTGATGTCAATATAAAAAGAAGGATGTTGAAAGACTAATGAAGCTCATGGAAAAGGACCTGCTTCTTGTTGGGCAGATGAGGGTGCAAGTGGTTTCATAAAAATAAAATGGCATTTAATGCTCTCAAACTAAGACTTCACTGAAAAACTGAGGTGGGGTACAAAAGGGAACTAACTTAGGGGTGCTGACACACGATAGTGCACTGTGTTGCTGGGATAAATCACAAGATGTACCACCAAGACATAAAACATGTCAGAGAGTGTTTGGAGACAGGGTCAAAAATAGGATGGTGTTGATTTGTGATGAGTTTTTAATGTTGTGAGAAGGCATTTGGACTTTATTGTATGGGCAGTCAAAAAGGGATGTGTGTGTGTGTGTGTGTGTGTGTGTGTGTGTGTGTGAATTCTGTCAATGGTTCTTTACTTTCTTCTTTTATCTATTTTTCTCGCTTACATCTCCATACATTTTCGTGGACTCCAAGTGCCTTCTCTCTCTTAAGTCTACAGGTTCTATCAGCCAAATGTCTCCGTAGAGGTCACCTTTCCTGGAATTTTAATTGATTTTCTGAGGGTCCATTCTTGAAAAGTAATTGATATACTAGAAATACAAGACTCTGTGCTAGGTTTATCACCAGTTTGATGGTTCTTTTTAGGATAAGTCATTTTTGTAATTTGTCAAGAGCTGATAATAACAGTCACTCACAGAGGCCTTGTCCACCAATGTGTTTAGGCCAAAACATCAATTTACTGGGTGAATAAAGTGCATCTAAAAGCTGTTGCATAGTTGTTCTCTGGCCTAACCATTCTCTCTCTGTCCCTCTATCTCACTCTTGCTGTATCTGAAGTAAAGTATCAATTATGGAACACAGCTAAACCATTAAAGACAAGCTATGAGATTAATTGGACATGCATGCTATTCCTTGGAAAAGTTTCAAGAGGAATTTTATTGATTTATGTTTTTACATGAATGGAGGATAATGAAAGTCACTTTCATTCTTAATAAAAAAAGAACTCTCATGCCATGTACTCAAGCAGCACCACAGAGTCTTCTAACTATGGTGAGGAAATAGAAGAACACTCCACAATATATGGGCCAGGAATGGCTGAATGCATAAGAACACAGAAAAGTCTTATTACACTGTCATCATTCGTACCAACTTGTAAATTAGAACTAAATGTACATTCTTGTGATCTCTAATTCTGTCTTCAAGACAATAATACAAAGCATGCATTTTGATCAAGAGATTTTATGTTCTTAGAATTCATTCTTATCTAAAAAATCTATAATTTTAGTTATGGAGAAGCAATTCTCAGAGAAGCCTGTAAGCCAAGTGGTTAAGAGCAAGAGGTGGGTGCCATATTACTCAAGTCCAAGTTGCAGTTTCAGTTTGTGAAATTTTATCCTAGTCATTTTAATCTCTTCACACCACAGAAATTACTATGAAGATTAAATGTGATCATGAAACCAAAACACACAGATGGTATAATTGTACATAAAATATTAATTTGTGATCTAGAAAAGTCTTTACAGAATGCTGGGCTTTAAGCAAGATTGTAAAGGCTTCAGAATATCTCTGGCTCTTGCCACTTGGAATGAAGTGAGTCTGCAGAGAAGTGCCAGTTATCACTCTGCGCTACACTACAGCTTCTCCAGTCGGTGGGAAGAAATGGTAATGCTGATGTAGTTAATAGATCGCAATTCCAGATTTATAGGTTTTAACCAGTTGCTCAGTCAAAGCTGGCTTTACATGACACTAGCAGAAAGCTAAAAATTCTGGTAGTTAGCATTGACAGGAAATATTGGAACCTTCGGAGAAAAACACAAGTATACCTAGGTAGAAAGGCTTATTGTTAAGCAAAGTGGCTAGGAAATATAGTACTACTAAAATTCTTGGTACAGTTTTGTACTAATGGGACAAGGACATCCAGAGTGGTGCTGAGAAGAATTGGCGTGAAAACACTCACTCATCAAGCAGAGTGGTGAAATTCTTATTTGTTTGCCTGAGTACTAAGTCAGCAAGCCACATGGGTGCTGTGTCTTCTGGGTAAATGACTCATGGGCAGCAGGACCAGTACAGCTGCCATCTTGTCCACCTGTGTTCCAGCAGTGTCTGCATATCTAAAACACAAGAAGAGAAAGATGATGCGTTTGTACTCTTGGATTTGTATAGAAGAGACCCACAGTCAGAAATAGTGGTAAATGTATCTACCACTGCCCAGTTGATTTATTTGGGTGGGTAAGCAGAGAGAAAGCCTGTTACTGCTTGTATGGCTTTGACAGCTACTACTCCTTGTATCTGCTCCAAGGGTGTGCTTTGCCTAAAAGATTCTCCATTATCACAAAATGAATGCTAAAGTATTTGCCAGGTCCTCAATTTTTCTTATTTCACAGTTTAGCAGAAATTATACTTGTAACATGATTGAAAACATCTTTTCCTAGATCTGGAAATGATATTCAGGTTAAGATTGCTTAAAATAATACTAATAAAAGCAACCCTAAAGATGCACTTAGGATGTACTCTAATGATGATAAAACACACAACATTAGAAGGCATTTATTGTTAATTTGATGATGTTAATTAGAAAGGAAAGAATGAAATAATATACTAAGCAGTCTGGAAAACTAAGAAGTTTATATTTTATTAATAAATGATAAAAGCACAAGAAGATAACAGTTATTTTCATCGTATTTTTCAGTTTCTAAGTATAAAAAGACTTTCTCATATGGCAGAAATGTTTCTTTAAACTGAGAATTTCTTTGTAACTAAGATTGTCATGAAATTGCCACATTAGACTAATGACCTTTAGTTTTAGTTGCATAATTGAAATTTAAATTGTCAAGAAAAGGGTTGAAATTGATAAAATTTGCCAAGAGTATAATTCTTTGATACACTTTTGACAATCTGAAAAGCACTATAGCTTAAAGAAAGAGGGAAAAAAACCTCTACTTAATACAAGGGCAAAACAAACTCTTGAATATTTTTTCTAAAATCATTTTACTCATGACAGCAGGATTAAAAAATAACTTTTATGAAACTTATAATAGGTGGTTGCTTTAGATATCCTTCACGAAAATTTTGTCAATTAAGATTTTTATACCAATCCTGTCTCCAGTTTAAGGCTCATTTATAGCTAATTACTTATTGTAATGACATTTGATGATGCAATCACAATGGAATCCAATTTCTAATAAATAACTAAGACTATGAAAGAAACAGGCAAACTGTTTAACTGAGTAAAAGTTATTAAGTATAAAAATAAAATATTTCAAATATGTGTGGATTAAGAAGACTGCTCATCCCTGAATTTATCTGACATTGAAAATTGTTGACATAAGGAGTAAATGTAAACAGGAGGAGAGATGATTAATATTGACCCTTAAGGACTTCACGTTTGGTTTAATAAGCAGCCAAGTTCAGGTATTATAATGTTTTAGCAACATAAAAATTATTAAGGGTCAGGCCAGTTTTCTATTATAAACTCCAATTTGGAGAGGCTTGCATTAGTTTCAGAGTTTCTAGTAGAATGAAATAGTATCTTCAAGCAACACAATGGCTTGAAAATCAAAAGTGAATCATTAAACTCAATTTTTAAAAGTTAAATTATTTTCATTTTCCAAATTCAAAACCTATCTTATTACTTATAGACTTTTTATAAGATCTCTAAACTCAGGAACTTAGATGAGAAGTACACTTCATTTACATTTCTAAATGTTGAACTCTTTCCTTTTGAGAATTCTCTAGCACATTCGAGTAAGCTATAAGTTATTATAAACACAACCAAAGGGAGCTCGGTATCAATTCCACCAGGTACAGTTCAAAGAGACACCCTGTGCATGGTCCACGTAGTCCTGTGAAGAGCATCAGTGCCATTTGGAAACTGTTACTCTTCCCACAAGCATGTTTATCATGTTGGTCTCCTGAATTATTTAAGGTTTGGATTTTTAGAAAACATAACATTTCATTTGACTAACAAATAGTGTTGTAATTTCAAAAAGTCAAAATAAATACATAACACTTTATTTAAAAATGATAAAATAAGTTAAAAATTACATTGATGTCTATATTGTCTGGCTTATGAACCAACAATATAATTTATCTCATTCTTGTTATCTGTTTTAAACTAATGTGAAAAGAGTTTAAAATGATGAATTTGAAGCTCAAAGGATGGCTTATCTAAGTAGGTGGTGATATTAATAAAGCATTAACTACAGTATTTTTTTACCAAGCACATGAAAGTTCTGAATCTTCTTAACATTCCTTGGTTAGACTAACCCTCTGTTAGCCCTTTTTTAAAAAATTGAGAATGTATAGATACATTCAGATAGCAGAACCAATCAGGAAAGGAGCTGTGCACACTCAGTTTCTATCACGTTAAACAAAATACCCATCAGTGCTTGGAATTTTCCTAACAGACATGATCTAGGTGTCCACTGAGGCCTCACTGTATAGTTAAGAAGTTTGAAAAGATCTTCTAGGCATCAACTAGGGACAAGTGAGTAACGCATGAAATCACTCCAAGGTAGGAAGGCTAGAGTTATTGGAAACAAACGCACAGAAAATGAACTAAGAAGCAGAAAATCTACCTTTAAGACCTGTTAGATATTCAAAGAGAGAAAGATTAAAGATCCCCATGCTTAATAAGCATTACTGAAACCACAGTACACTTTACTATGGGAGTATTCAGTCATATTAAAACTAAATCATGTCAAGATATGCAGTAGAAAAAATCCCAGGGAAATCTGTTATCGTAATTGTTTCTATCTCTTACTTGACAAGAAAACTAAGTGCTGCTATTCTTCACAGGTCATAATAATGTAAGTTAGCTCTGAAATCTGTATCCATTAAAACAGCTGAAACATATTTTATTGCTAAATATCTATCCTCAGATCCAAAACATCTTCTAGAAAAGATCACTGAGAGCAACTATTTGCACACAGGTCAGAGTAACTACCCTGTTTCTCCAAGTGCTTTCATTTTTTTCTTTCTCTTATTCTTTTCCCCATTCTTCCCCCATTTCTTCCATCCATCTATCCATCCTCCCATCCACCCATGCAGTGTTCATCAAGTACCACCTGCAAGACCCTCTGTCAAAGGCAGGTGGAGTGACAGACAAGGTTTAGGTTTACCTGATGGTCAGGCTAGCACACAGAGCCCGAGCTTTTAGAGCTTTTGCTGTGATTGGTATTGGTATTGAGACAACTATATTTGAGAAATGGTAGTTCAAGACCATTACATGAGTTAAACTTCAGATCTCATTCACAGTACCTTTCCTGCCGCTCTGGATAGAAGAATAGGAAGTAAAGATTTTCATGTCTATCCTTCTCTTATTTCAGGAGAAATTTGTATTTCAGCTTTGGCTAATGTCATCTAATTTGCCAGCAAGTTCAAGGGATAAATGGTAAATATAAGCTCTCAGAAGGACGCTGTACAATCTATTCACAAGGAAGAAATATATAAGAGCATAGGTTAAAAGAAGGAAAGCATGCTTAACGCAGAACTGGAAAACGTCCTAGAGGCTGACACAATACAGTCTTCTTGCTTCTTAGCTCAGAGATGCTGTTCTATCGGTACTCAACACAGATCTTTAAATCCCAGAGCTAATAATGCTTCCCAACTACAGCTGGATGCATCTGACAAGCAGCATGTAGTAGGAATCCTCGTAGGGGATAAAGGTTCCTAAAAGTCCACTCAGAGTTCAAATCCCAGAAGAGGTGCCCCTGATGTGCAGAGCACTTAACCCTTCGACCAGTCCCTACATGACTATTCACAAATT